TATTTATAAGAATAAGTTCGTTGTTCCCTATTTTATATATTAAATAAATTTGCTAAGAAAATTGTAAAAATTATGTTATACCCCTAGTAATTTTGTCAGTTTCCGATGCATAATTGTTGTGGTAATCACCGACTCCAATGGAGGAGCTGCCGCGAATATTTGATGAGACAATTAAAATAATCGATTTCTGTAAATTAAGGTAGAAATTTCATAAAGTGTAAAAGGGCATCCCACCTCTTAATGTTACGGCGGGTTCTGCGGTAAGTTCAGGCTCCACATCGATCATCGGTTGTGTCAATTGCTGACTAATCGACTCTTCCATGGTTGATGCGGCCACCTGGGGCTTTTGTGACAACTGAGGTCGTGGAGTGGTCATGTTGTCGGAAAGATCGCACAACTTTTGCCGCTTGACAACCGACTTTTTTGTTGAGGTGATCCTGCGTGGTCGATGACGTCCACTCGACTCGGTTCGGCTCGTAAGCGAAGCATTGGCGACCACACGGCGACCAAAGGCCCACATCTCGATGAAACACAGTTAAGTAGAAACCGTGGTAGCTAAGAAAGTCTGCTGTGAGGCGTGGAGAAATGGCTACACTTTTGAGCTTTCCTTTGGTCTTAGACTGACTTCGTCGGACGCGTTGGCCACAATGTTGGCTCAAGGATTCGATTTGTGAAAAAATACTTTCTGGGTGGAGGTTGGTCTTGCTGAATTCATCCATAATGTTTCCCACAACGTGACACCTGCGTCCTGTAACACCTAAAATCTTAGTTTCTATTTTGGCCAAAAGGAAGTTGTTTGGTACAGGACATTTTAATAACTTAAAATGTCAACGAAATGCTCTAGCTCAACCTGACTAAAGTCAACAGCTTTGGCACTTCTTGACACACTCGTAACTGAGATGGAGACGTACACTTAGTGAAGTTTAAGTAAACTAAAGGACACTATGAATTCCTGGGTGGTGGTGAAATGCGAGACTTGCTACACATTTATGCAGGCAGCAAGTTTGACATCGATGAATTATACATTTGCATTAGTGAAAGCACCGTATTGCGAAGTTGAAAAAAAAGCCAACCTCAAGGGACATTTAATTAGCACCTAGCCCATAAAACAATTAGACAAAGCGCCAAGAACAGACTATCGGATAACCTGAAGTGATGGATACCGTCGTACCGGGTGTACCGCACAGTGATGTGTCAGAGTGCACTTGAGTCAAATGGATGAGTTGACATTGCGCCGAATTAGTTGGAACCAGACACATTTGCTAAAAATGGCTTACTTGGCTTTCTCTTTGACTCAACCTAACGTGTCGCCGGCTGGACGTTTTGGCACTGGTGCCCTTGCGGAGCAGCATCGCCTTTTGACGCATCTTGCACGACTCAGGCGAGGAAGGTACAGACGTCGAGGTGTCTCCAGCCTGGGAAGGCATCTTTCTCCGAATGCCTCGTCTGATCGGAGCACTTAGTGGGGCCGCCCGTTCCAAAACCCCGCGCTTCTCGGTCAATGAACGCTTTCCATAGACAATATTATCTAAAGACACCTTTCAACAAAAGGTTTTTGAGAAAAGTTGCGATGATTATTCGCTAAATTTTGTAACTTACTCATTTACAACGACTATTTAGAGAATGTATACACATCTGCAGCAGCATCCATAATACATAGTTCATCTGGTGTCCCACAAAGATTTGTAAAAAAAACATACGAAATACTGTCCTAATGTGACCAAAAACGTTTAGGTGAGGTGTGGGGATTAATTCATCACGTAAAAACTTAGAATGTGTCCACCGCTTGTCAATATATTTCACCGACGGTAAAATTTTGTCGCAAGCAAGTGATTTGGCAACGATGACAATAACTACCTTATTGACAACTTACATCAGCACTGGCCACCTTCGATGAGACACCACGAGATCGTAAGCACGGCGAAGAAGCGCTGGATGGCGTCTGAGAGTGGTCGCTCGTCATTGAGGCGCAACCGGATGTTTCGCCGATAGTCACAACGGAACCCAGGGCGGAGAGGCGTTTAACTTCATCCAAGTGGATGGCGGCCCTGAGTCGTTCGAGCCTAGACGGCACAGAATGCGAGACATTCAACACACTTGTTCATTAGTAGCACATGTCCAAAACACCAATTAGGTTTCCTGGCCCCTCTGATTCGAAATGCGTAGTACTCGAATAGGAGGAGGATGGCATAAAGGATGTAACACTTACGTGAATTCTCGGCCATCCTCGATGCACTTGACGACGTACGAAGGCATGGCCTTCATTGGATCCGCAACGGCACGATTTTCGTGACCCACAATCACGTAGCCAACTTCGTATTCACCGCGTCCTGAGTTATCGACAACTACCTACAAAGAACATCCACGTTGCCGCACCATGTTTGTCGCCAGAGAGGAATTTGACAATTTTCTACGCAGGCAGTGTATGCCGTAACTGGCATTTTATCACCATTCAGTAACAATTTCATAAATTCTTTGACCGGGGCTCACCATTCCCTAACTTCATAATCTTTAAATCAACTCCATTTGAAAACAATGTGAGAAAGGAAACTAATCTCAAATTTGTGTTAAATTCCCTGATGGAACAAAACCAGGCACCAACAATTGATTGAAATAACTGTGAGTAGTCATTAGCTTGACCCTACGGCTACATTCATCAGTTTGTCCGCATGACGGCACGGAATTAAATGCACTTACATTTGATCCAATCGGAAGAAGTGCATGCTGAAGAATATCCTTGGCCGGTATGATGCCACTCGACTTATCATCAAAGCGAATACGATATCTAAGGCACAAGATTAGGAAAGGTAGAAATACGCACACATTCAAGATTTAAATGTACAGGACAGCAAATTACCTGTCAACGCCCAAAGCCTTAACAATGTATCCAGAGTAATAGTACTCATCAGTTCTCCATTTTGCGTAAACAAGTGCACCTGCAAGTGAAAGTCACAATCTCGTCAAGTAAAACGTATTCGGGAAAAAAACAACACAACCCCCACTTTGAAGCAGACTAATAATGGTAATAGATTAATTAAATCATACTAGGAACAAAACTATCATATCGGACTAAAAGTTCCAAAAGGTAAGGTCACGATTACATTTAGTTGGACAAATTTGCTGACAATTTGATGCATATATGTGTGCGGTTTTCGCAAATAATCAAAGAGAACTCACAGTGTGTTACAAAAGCAACAACGGTTTGGATGGATACTTCTTCAAATAAACTGCTTTCATTTAAAAACCAGACCTGTTCCACAATTATGCTTTTGAGCAGCTGGCCCTAATGGTTCTACTTACAACTTGCAGCCAGGTTCGTGGACAAATGAAATACCCAAACATGTAGAAATTGAACAAAAACTTCCCACTTGTCGATTAAACACCGACTGAATAGCCAGATATAAAATTGCAAGTCGTTGGTCTAAACTAATGTGACAGGCTCCTTCATTGACAACTTGGTGAAAACAGTTTCCTAAATTAACTTTGATGAATAATGAAAAAGCTGGTTTTATGTGGGTACGTTTCACAATCACAATTGTTTTACCACAGACGATGGCCATTAGGCAGTCTGAAGTGCTTAGCGGCTAAACATCCGGACCCAAAGCCTAGCATAAACCGCGATCTTTAGTTGAAGCAGCTCATCGACCCATAAGGTCCTACAATCAAAACTTTAGTTTCCATAGCGTGCTGACGGATAGGACTCTTCGCTAACCAAACTTTTCGTGCTTAACTTGGAGGCTGGGCTGTTAGCAACGGATTATTGATTAGCTAAACCATTCATTCAAAAAATACATAGGGTCTGTGGATAAAAATAACCGACATGCAAAGAATTGGGTACTGTGCGGTCATAACCTTGAAACCTTAGTCAATTCTTGAGTGGTTCACCGAGCGAATAATAGGACCTGCTTACTAGCTATGAAGAGATACGAACCGTATCGAACATAGGGACCAAAGTTTCATTTGTTTAAATTATTTCGTGAATGTACAGTTTACTCAAAACCATTAAAAAGAGGGTACGGTTTTCAATTAGGACACAGTTAAGAAAACAGGGGAAGCTTGCCTGGGTGTACGTCCAGTTTTTCATATGAACAGGAATCCGAAGGCTTTTCGTTGTTTGTCTCGAAAGTAACTGGCGTAGGAGAGGTCGTTTTCTTGTTAGTTTGGGAATCCAAATCAGGAACGGTGCTAAAGGAATACGATAAGTCTGATACAGTTCATTTATGCAGTTTTACCACTCAAAGATGTAGGAGAATAAGTCAAATCGACACCAATTTACACACCAAGAAGCCGGTCATGTTACGTCAACTGTGAGACGAAAATCAGAAGCACAGCAGTAAGGGACCATGGGTGGTCGAAGTGTCTGGAATAAAATTTCAGCCAAGATTTACTAAGGTCGGAGTTTTTGCTAGTGTACGTATATTATCACACATGAACCCAAGAGCGAAGACCTTACGATGATGGCCGATCTTGGAAAACAGTATTGGTGCCACGGATAACTGCGAGGTTATTTACTTACGTATTTGATCCAAAAGTTTGTCCAGGAGACCGCGTGGAATCACTCTCAAACGGGTCTAGAAACATAAAACTACAATATTAATATGTTAAACGAGATAGGAAACTGGTTAGGAGGAATCTAAACCCCACCCTGACACTCATGCGCACGAGATTCCGGCTTCTTTGTGAGAATATTCTAAAAAGGTAACAAGATAGTTTTAAGATAACAAAGGTGCTAACGACCGTTTTCAGTTAGCAGCACAAACCAGTGTAGTATATCAGCGTATTATAAAAGCTACAGAATTAACTTCTTAAATGTCTAGCAACATATCTGCTAGCCTCAAGCCTAAACATGCAGTGATATACAAGGTCCTCACCGACTTTCGGGAATCAAAGCAGTCAGAAGACGAAGAGGAAAGTCGGGCATCGTTGGTGATTTGGCGGCGAGGAACCACAGTTGCAGGCGGTTGGTTGTAATCAGAATGGACCCCTTCACTTTCGGAAACCAAACTCTCTCTAAGCCAATCAGCAAAGGCATCAGCTAATATCTTGGCTGCGTCTGACACTGCTGATTCTGCGTTCTCGTCCATTCTTTGTACACGATTCTATAAAATTGCAGGTTAGTGAAACTAAGTCTAAGTTTATGATGGATTGTTGAGGCCTAAGTGTAGAAGTTACTATTTTCTACGGCAGCCTCTCTTTCAGATGTAAACCTCATAAAACCTGGTTCTATTTGAAATCTTATGACAAGTCGTGGGCAATTTAACTAGCACATAGCAGACCATTGACCACTCTTCTGAATACGGAGTGTATGCCAAAAAGCAGACCCTGAGCCTTAACTGGGATTTTTAAAAACACGGAGCTACGAAAATAGTAATAAGTGGGTATTATGAGGAATTTGATATAGCAAATTTGAATCACTTGTTTTACTGACCCGCCAAGCAACAGTTTTGACGAAATCTGGCGAATTGAATTCCACATATTCCGCCCTTTCTACCTTAGGTACGTGACGGAGCACAGATAACGAGAGAACATATGAAAACAAAGGCGATGTATCCTGATCATCTGTAATCGCCGTTGTTGTTGTCGATGTAGATACAGTTGTTATCCGCTTGTTTGGTGGAAGCAGCGGCTTGTGGAATTCCGAAGAGTCTGATTGAAAAATATCAGACCCCGACCGTGTGGTGCGGGTTGAAGTTGTATTTGTGGTTTTGGCATTCACATGACCAGTGGATATTGAAGAAGGTGAACAAGCTGAGGAGCAGGAATCCTGGCGTGTGCTCTCCCCGGAAGCCATGTAGGCACTAGAACATTGTTCGCCTAGGAAACGAACTAACAAGCTACCTTACTACTCCCAGGCATCGAGTGCACAAGTTTTAATACGTTCCTGAACCCTTTGGTGGAAATTACTGATACACGATTATAAATTTTATTTAAATACTGCAAAATCCTATCGAGAACAGTATATGAGAACACAGTTTGTGGTATTTGCTCTAAAGATATGAAATTTCAAATCACTACGTTTGTTAATCCCAAATGCAAAAAACTTTACGTTAAAAAAATAAACTTACGTTTGCTGGAAATTGTTACTGGGGCCGATGTGCGAACCTCGAGTGACGTCAGTCGGACGTTATCTAACTGACTCGCTCTAGGAGAGTTAAAATCACCTCCACTAGTGTGTCTGATTTGTTGGTAGCTACTACTGGAGACAAATGGATCAGCCACTAGGATAGTAGGGTCAGGTCGATTAGTTGAAAGGTGTGGTGGTTGAATCGGAGATGACGAAGCAATGCGTTGATCCCCTGATATCGGCTTAAATACCAGAAAGTACTAAGATAAGTGGCAATGTGAAACAGTCAAAGAACTCTAAAAGAATAACCGGCGCAGATAAGGAATGGGGCAGCTAAGGTGATTTGATTTTCGATCAAAAAATACAACGCGGTGATAAATAACTGAGTGTACAGGTACATCGGTATAGTAAACTGGAAGGCATGCGAGATAAAAGTCTCATTCTTTTATACAATAAAATAATGTAATAGTAACACAAATGAAAACAACATACATTTGCGATTTGAGAAAATTGCGACATATTACCACAAGAATTCTCCCGGGTTCTATTAACTGAAAAATGTAACCGAAAAATACGAAAAACATACCACTCGATTGGTAACTAGAGAGGGACTGCCTAATATCTTCAAAGTCTAAAAAAACATCACTGATAACGGAAAATTACCATCTTGTTGTGTATTTACAACTGGCTTTGAAAGATACAACATATCCTTAACAAAGTTGTTAGGGTAGACACAACAAACTCTATCATTTATGACACTTATGCATTTCAGCACACTTTTTTCATTCGTTGAATTATCCATAATGCGGCCTGCTTGTGGCCTGGGTATAACGTAATCGATAGGAGGTGGCGGTTCAATATTAGAGGACGGGATAAAGTTTTCGGAATCGGTTGGATCATCGTCAAAACCTGTCATCACAAAATGAGGACCTCCCTAGCTCTAAAGGAATATTAGATTTGCCGCATTTATTTGATAACGCATTACTGAACAACTTAAACTTTTGCAAATTACTTTTTTTAAATTCAAAAATGTTTTTTCTGCCCAGTGCTAAAATGCGTAAAGCATAGCTTAAATTTCTGTCAAATTATGCTGACAAAATGGTGGAGGGGATTAAATATTTTGGCTTCATAAAGCTGCAAACTTTACCATCTTTCTACCACATTTCAGACCAACGAGCACCAGACTTTTGTAGAAGGTCTTAAGGAATAATTGAACAAATATAAAAGAATATACAGCTTAGTTCTATTCGAATTTTTTTTCTACACATTTCAATGCACAAAAGCCTTCCCAAATTATGTGTAAACTTACGCTAATGTCGTTAATATAAATGGAGTTTTGATGCATTTTGGTAATTTACGCTATTCGTGCTTTTTTTATATCATATTGCTGCACTAACTGTCATCGTGGCAAAGCCAATTTACATTTAATTCGACCGAGTTTTTCTTACTTTCTTTTCAAACTTTTCTCTTATATTACACTGAATATTTTTAGAATGGGTCTTGAGAAATTTCGATTACCTTCATGCGGCCACTATGACCCTCGCACTGACATACACTCATGCTCACAACTTCCTAAAGCTTAAACTATTTCTAAACCAGACAATGGGCCATTTTGCTTACTTTTAAATGACAATAATCATGAATTGTTTGAGATTACTTAACTCTAGTTCGAATTTCAACTCCTTGTCTTCACACCCATGACAAACTAGGCCTATCTGCGCTCTAAGTTAGTGAAATGTGAATATATATTTTCGTTACCAATGCGAATTTATATCCACCTTTGTCCACCGAATCGTATGTGACTTTTGCGACCATTTAACTCCGTTTGTGTCAAACATTGCCATGAAATTACCATACGTCGTTACTCATCGTATTCACAAAAATTAGACTGCTACCTCATAACTAAGTTCTATTTATAGTCCCGGTTGTTGGACTGGCCAAATGAAAAATTTGTTCATTTCAAAATTAATTTATGTTTTACCCCAAAACCACAGATTTCGAGTGTTAGACCCGAAATCTGTTTGTTTATTTCATGTCTTTGTACATCCATACAATGCTTCGATATGGTTAAAAAAATTGAATTCTGCAATACTAGACATGCAATTTAAATAAATCTAGGATACGTCACTGCAAGTATGATTTATAACCTGTTTCGTAACGAAGCACGCAGGAAAAAACATATTCACTCGTAGAACCACCATACCTGACTTTTTATGCGGAGTCTAATGCACGTCCTTCACTCTACTCAATACACCTATATTTAGTCGTTATGATGTAAGTATATTCGAAGAAGATAACTGTAGTTTAATGATGGCGTTTTAGGCTGTTAGTCCACTGATTTAAAAAACCCAAGTACTAAATTTTAATTTTACGTTTCATCCTAACTACAGCTTAAAGTCATTAATCGTTTGCTTCTATCTGAATTGTTATATTTATAATTGGCCGGATCTACATTAAGAATATGCGATATGGTCTTGGCGACTTGAAGATTAGCCGAGATCGAGATAGGAGTAGTATACCTAGTCCAAATGCTTTAGCTATATCGTGCAAGGTCTGCATGACCCATTTTAAAGCACTTTTATATTCCTGTCAGAAATTTGTTAGACGAAATGGATAATTAGTGTTATCTTATTAAAGACAGTAGCTTCTACATAAATATCGAAACGCGGCTTATAGAAAGAGTTCCACGTGTCACTTTCAAGCTGTCTATTTCGTGAATTCAATGTATTCATTTACCGAAGGTATCACATCGACAAGTGTCTTTGGTGGTCTGCAGTAGGTACTCCGATTTGGCTAATTTTTTTCAAAAATGGTAATAAAAATACGATTTCAATGAAAAATTGTTATGACTACCATTGTGCTAAAGTCGAACAAAAGAATCTGAAGATATTGAATAGGACAAGTCCACTCGTGGATTTCAAATCTAACTCGTTTGAATGAAAAGTTAACCTGCCATTTCTATTAGGGTGTAAAGACCGGACCGCCAGAATGATAAAAATTCTTTGCCAATTCAAAGCAAGTTATTCTTATTAGACATCAACGTCACAGAATGGAGCAATAAATATATACATAGTTCTTTATTTACAATGTTTGAAAAGCTCCTTTAAGTGTACTTATGAAATTTTTTAATAAACTATTATTAATTCAAATTCATTTCCATTCAGCACCCCTCTATACAAAGGAAAATATTTGGTCCTCTAACCACCTAGGTTTAGCAATGATTAGTGGTTCAATTCTTGATTCGAAGTAATAACTATGTATAAACCAGGTTTCGTTTAAAATTCAGTTTAACTGCATGGTATAATTAAAGAACGTGGTTTTGATGGCCTCTGGGAAATTGCATATAAAATCACTGAAATCCACCGGGCATAATCGCTATTCTAGCCAGTAACCTCCTTAAATACTTCATTATACACACTATTCTAACAAAAATTATTTTGCTAATCAGGGAACCCCTGCGCTTTTCCTGCTGGCGTTTTCACCATTTCCCCTAAAGCCCTTCTGATTTAAATGCGGTTTAAAGGTCTACCAGTTTTATTATTAAGTCCTCGTACTTAACACCTACAAAGTTATTATCACCACACTTGAAACACAGAGGATTTAATTGCGAAAGAAGTGTTCTTAGGAAAAGTAGATCGCAACTAATAACAAATATTGCCCAGTTTGTTATTTCTAGGTATTTCCAAATTACTACACACTGTCCTTCACATTACCACCGCATGTGTCTAAGATTACCCAATTTATATTTCAATAAAAAGTGCTCAATGGAGCCACTAAACTATATGACAGGTCCTCATACGTATGACTGAGTAAGCGTAGTTTAAATGCCCCATGATCTTAAAAAACCCATTGGACTATTGTTACCTTGTTTCATGGGGCTTTCGTTAGCATTGGCCCTTTCTAAACCAGAGGCTGGTGGTCTGTTTGAAGTTGTCTTTGTTCAATTCCTCATTCAGTCTTTCAACGCTTGACACCTGTGGGGTCCGTTTTCTGTAAATCTGCTTAAACTCGATTAAATTAGTTTTCACTTGTGCAAAAACGTAGTAAGCGATCAAATTGAACAAGTTATTTAATCGCCTAGACAAAGTAGCGTATAAGCCTACCATTAAAAGCAGTCATAATCAATCTATAATACTGAAAAGGTTCCCTCTAAGATATGGAAATTTAATGTGCCAACTGGTTTTGCCAAACTTAATTGAACTGATTTTGTTGCTTGTGGCCATTCCCTGTTAATCTTCACTACGCATAGTGTAGCGACTAATGACGGTGCCCTGGGGTCAGAGATGTTATCACCCCTACATGTCCTCTCCACATCACTGCATAAGCCACGGTCATTTCCTATCCCTTTAGCCTCTAATTAAACAAGGTGAGGCCAAATGAAAAAATATCCAATGGTGATTAAACTATATTCCAAACGACATTATTCTTCAAAATGATTAACTTCTGCGAACACTAATCATGAAACCAGCTCTAGTGAGGTTAGCAAACCCAGGTTTGATTTAAAAAAACATCCTAAAAATTTAAAATGTGATTCATTAATCCTAGAAAGTGCTGGCAGTCTTATTGTACCTCAAATCGGCCCTAAGTTGTTTGCATAAATTCAACAAACTGGCAGCCTTCAACTTTGAGACGCATCATTCATCGCAATAGCTCTAAAATAATAGATAACTCTGTGTAACTTAGTTTATAAAAGGTTAAAGGTCTTGAGAAAAGTTGGTGGATGTTTTTGGAATTTCATTTTAGTCATTGCAAGTGATGCCATTCAGTATAAGAGTAAATATTATGGGGACTTAACTCGTGCTCAGTAATTTTTATTTACGTGGACAGAACTGTTAAATCTTCATTCCACAGAGGGATATGGAACATTGGGTTTAAGCAAATTCAAAACTTGCTGGACCACTGTTTGCACCAACCCATTCACGATTTGTTAGTAGGTCGGTCTTTACGCTGCCCTCCCCGTAATTTTGGCCGAGTTACTCTAAAGTATAAAGTAAACAGAGGTTCGACGGCCGTTAAGAGCGTTTGATATCAAAAGCAATCCTTACCTGGAAAATGGGGTACATCATTTTGGTGGTAAAATAATGGCTTAGTGCAAGATACCTACTTAAAATACACAGAACCATGAATCAGTATATGATCACTCGTGAATATAACATTTTTTGAAATAAAGTATGAGTAAATGTGACGTCCAAAACCATAAGAGACAAAGTTTTAGTAAAGCTATCTGAAACACATAATAAAACTGGACATTACTTGGGCACCAACCAGACGATTTTGTGGAAGGTGTTATTACTCGGTGCTGGTCCTGTTTATGACTCGGCCAATTCCCCTCCCACACACCCCAATACGGGTTAGAGCTTGACAACATAAAAATTCACCCAATGGCCTTACTCCAAGTACCCCTCGCGGATATTGCAAATTAGCAAAACATCGGTCCAGAACGATTCGGCAATGAAGAAATTTTAAAGCCAGTAGAGCATCAAAGATGTGTTAGAATGACTTCGTTTTGAACCCCACCATGTGGTCTTAAATCACGCCGGAGCCACTAAGCTTGCTCTAGGCCGGATACGCCACCTTGTTACCCGCGCAAACAAGGCCTAGCGGGGGTAGGACAACCGTTAACCAGATAGATTAACGGAGTTGTGTTAGTCGCGCCACTGGGCATAAAAACGTGTCTGGCCAAGTGGGATTGTCGATCGATACAGTCTAGGTGAACCTGTAAAAGTACAAATGGCTGAACTCTCAGCTGAATTAAACGTGCAGAGTGGGGTGGTGCATTCGCAGGAGTAGATGAGCGGATGGTTTAGCAAGATCTATGGGGACGAAGTGGAAATGACGTCCGAATGGCGAGGAATAAGACAATCGAGTTAGTGGATAAGAATTAATGCGATTCACTGCACCTTTTTTTATTTATTA